CTTAGGAATGTAGACACTGAGGGGGCCAGAGAGGTCAGCCAGAGGTAAGCTGTTTGCACACATGTAGCTGACTTTACTTTGATACCTGGCACCATCTATGGAGCCCTGAGAAGTGTCTGGAACAATCTCTGAGCACAGAGCCAGGAGTAAGTCCTAAGCACTGCAGGATGTGACCCAAACACACACACAGACACACACACACACACACACACACACACACACACACCTGCAAATACTCAGAGTAAGTGGTTTTGGGTATGGATTGAGACCCTGGGCAGGGCTAGGAGGGCCTGCAGGTGGGGAAGCCAACCAAGGATGGCGGGGGAGGGGAGGAGAAGGGTCTGGAATGGCATCTGATGGCGCTGTGGAAGGAGGAAGCCATGGAACCACGGGATGGGCACCAATTGGGTCTTGGGCCCCAAGGGTCGAGAGGGGGCAGCCGAACATTTCCCGTCTTGCAGTTGCTCTGCTGTCTTCACTAGACAAAGGTGTTCAGAGCAGGAACTGCTATGGTTGGTGAGCTTCAAGCCCAGTCTTGACCAAGATGCCTCATCTGAAGAAATAGAAAGCAACCTCGGTGACAATGTTTTACGCACAAAGGAAGGACTGAGAGAACAAGGGGAAAGCAAACTCCAGAGCTGGAGAAATAGTCTGGCGTTAATTAAGGCACTTGCCTTGCACGTGGCCGACCCTGGTTCGATCCCTAACACTGCAAACAGCGCCTTGAGTCCTGAACTGCTGGGCTGGGTGTGGCCCAAAAAACAAGAGAGAAAACGAAAGAAAACCAAGCTTCACCCCCCTTTTTTGTGGCTATAGCCATGGGCCATACCTACAGATATGGGGATAGGACACACAACGTCCAACTCAAGTGGTCCTACCACTTAAACCACATCTGTGGCTTCCAACTCCCTCCTTTCTCATCCTCTCCACAATCATGCTAAGCATAAAACACGATCAGCCAAAGTCCCCCAAGAATCAGTTTCTGCTCCTGGCACTGAGTTCCAAGAACACGCTGGGCATCTTCGTCATATTTGCAAATTCCACTGGTGAGCAGTGAGCAAAATGACAGCTTCAGCACCAAAGAAACAATAGCCCGAGGGTCAGAAAAGGCCCGCTCCCAGCCCTGCTGGTCAGACCACCAGCAAAGCACCGTCTGCTGAAGCGTCTCTGGGGCCTTATTTGCCTAGTGGATGCTCAAATCTCTCTCACAAGATGCTGAGAGCATGAAACGAACTGCATACAGAGCTCTGTCACCCAGGATGCACACCCATTTGTGCACCTGTCATATTACTGATTGTGAGCAGTTTTGTGACTAGATCTTTTAGTTTTGCCATGTGGCCCATGGTCTAGCTCTCTCTGGACCAGAGGGCTAGAAGCCACAAGCTCCACATAGAATTGTCAGCCAGGTTTCCCAAAGCCCCTCCCCATTACCTTCTGCCCCCCACCCCGCCTCGTGGCCCGGAGTGCCTCTCCTCTGTATGGGGGGGAGGGGGCATCAAAGCAAATTGTCCAACTCAGGTTGACATCACCACAGCCTGCAACCCCACCCACCCCATCACTGAGAGTACCTCCAATTTGGTCGTGCAAATGTCCAGCCAACACACGGGGCCTCCAGGCTTGATACACACCTGCAGCGTGTATCAAGAGTCTGCCAAGTCAACAGGCTTAGAAGCTGGCTGGTGGAGAAAAAAAAACATAAGTCTGAGGAAGGTTTTCACAGTTATTAAAAAAAAAAATCTGAGAACCAAGAAGCTCACGACTAGGTGACTCAGATTCTAGGGAAGGCCAGTGCACAGCGCACAGGAAGATGAGCATCAACCCAGCAGGACGTGCATCTGGCCAGCTTGTGTCTCCTGCTGCCTGGCCTCTCCTGCACGCATCATGTGACCTTCTCAGAAGTTGCCGAGTTCCTGCATCCTGAGTGAGGGAGACCAGTGTGGGACCCCTCCCCACTCCCAGGCCCCTGCAATGCCACCGCCATCACGAGGGATTTCCAGCTGGAAGGGTACCCTGGATAAACGCTTCTCAGCATTTCTTTACTTCTTGGACCCCCACAAGATTCCAAGGGGACCACAGGCGAGACTTGTTGTAAATGGGAGGCATGGCATGAGACTAAGGCGTCAACTGGCTGGACAGGGACGACACAGGAAGAAAACAAGGTCAGAAGGAGGCCCCAGAGGGCGAAAGGTTGAGGACCATGCAATACTTCAATGTGAGCATCTATGCAGTCCAGCCAATGCTACTGGCCAAAGTGACCCGCTGCCAGGAACCCTGACCTCCAATGTGATGGTATTCAGGGGCTGGGGTCTCTGGAAGATAAAGCAGCCGAGATGGCATCCTGAAGCTGACGCCCCTGCTGAGGGGAGAGACCTGGGAAGTGGGACAACAGGGTCCCCCGGTGGGCTCCCAGTCATGAGAAGACTGGCAAAGGGACTAGAGAGAGAGTGCAATGGTTAGGGCTGACCCGGGCTCAATCCTCAGCTCCAGTAAAGATTCCCTGAGCCTCACCGGGAATAATCCCTGAGCACAGACTCAGGAGAAAGGCCTGAGCACTACCAGATGTGACCTGAGTCCCTCCCTTCAACCTGTGTGTGTGAGAAGAGTCTGCCAAGCCACCAGCAGGTCCTCATGGACACCCAGAGTTCTGGTGGCACCTTGCTTTGGCCTTGGCACCTGTAGAAGAGTGAGCAGGCAGGGGCTGGGTTGGTGCCATCCCATCCAGAACAGCCCATCCCAGGCCTGGGGGGGGGATGGAAAAGAAGGGGTACCCTCACACAGAGGAGGGTGCCCACTCCACCCTGGAGGATGAGTCACCATCCAGAGGAATGTGCTGTGGTCACCACAGGGCACACGGCCACACCGTGCAGGTCTTGCGTTATTATCTGGAGCCAGTCAGTCCCTAAGCGCGTGCGCGCGCGTGCGTGCGTGCGTGCGTGCGTGCGTGCGTGCGTGCGTGTGTGTGTGTGTGTGTGTGTGTATGTGTGTAGGGGTCCTGCTGGTCTTTGCTCCCCGTCCCCACCTTTCCCCAGTCCCAGGGGATTCCAGGCAAACGCACAACGGTGACATTTGCTGAACTGTGCTGTGCTCCGAAAGGGCGCTCAGCAAGCCAGAGGGCACCATACCGGCCCCCAGGACTGCTCTGGGGAGTGACCCACTCACCTCCCCAGTGGAGGTAAGAATAAAAGCAACACGCACATCGGGAGAGCCTGCAGCCAAGCCTCTGTGCTGCTGGACCTTGGCAGAGCCACTGGCCGAGAGGCAGTAAACAAAATATTGGCTAAAAGAGGCTTGCACAAAGCAGCTCGAATAAACCCTTCATTTGGGTTCAAACGATGCTCCTTAAACGCCAGGTAACCGCCAGAGCCCAAACAAAGGGAAGAGCAAGACTTACAAGCGCCTCCCCCTTCTAGCCGGAGGGAACCAACTAACAGCTACTTTGAACACTCTGTCCTCCCAGCACTCTCAAGCCTTTTGAATAACAGAAAAACAAATAAGGATCGGTCGATTTAAAAAGTGCTACTTAATCTCCAGAGAACTGGGGGCCTTCGCTCCCCTCACTGCCCCAAGAACTAAGGATCCGTGGTTGGGAGTTTCTAACCTCCCCAGCTGAGACTTGATCTGTAAAGGCTTTGGCTGCGGACCATACCCCCGGGTTCCCGGCAGAAACTGGCTCTGGAGCCAGTTTCCTTCTGGTCCAAGACCCCTTGCTGAAACTTTTCTACTGAAAAACAGGCATTTCTGTGCCCCGCGCAATGAAATTCACGCTTCAATCGACTTCTCCCAAATATTGTGTCATGTGAGTTACATAATGGCCTTTCGTTAATTAAAGGTGGGAGGGGCGTTCGAGGCGAAACCTAATTAATTCCATGCTTGGTGCCGGCTACACCTTTTAAGACTGCCCGCAACTAGCAAGAAAATTTAAAAAAAAAAATTTTTTTTCAAAAAACTCGGCAATCACTCCATCTGATGTCAGAACGACAGATGCGGCTTCCTCTTTCACCCAGAACTTTGAAGTAGGGTGTGGCTCCGGGGTGGGGGAGGGCAACGGATGAGCGGGGGACTGGAGAGGCGGGGGACAACGACGACAGCTCCGGGGAATTTGCAAATAAAACTCCCCCTTCACCACCCCCCTAAGCGCGCGTTCTTCAGAGGCTATCGTGCGGGGACCCTCGAGACTCTCCCCAAGTTTTTTGCTCGGGAGAAGTTGCGCGCTTTGAAACGTCCGAGCTTGAGCTAGTCCTGAAGAACTTCGGGGCGCTGCGGCCTCCCTCCCCCCACGCCCAACTCCGGGTTCCAAGTTGGGGAAAACTTGGAAGGGCGCGCGCGGCGCGTGCATCCAAGTCCAGCTAGTCTAACGGTTTCGCGGGCACCGCTAGAACCTCGGAGCGCGCCGTGACTCACGCCAGTGACTCAGCCCTGACCACACCCCTGTCCCCCGGGCTTTCCTCGGCCGCCGCCCCGCTGCCCGCGCCCTCGAAAGCCCCAACAAGCCCGTTAGATTCCTGCACCCGGGTCCGATCGTGGCGCGCGACACGCCTCGGGGTCCCGGGGGCAGGGGCACCCCAACCCCGCTCTGCAAACTCGGGCGCCTTTTGTCTCGTTCTCGCCTAGTTTCCTTCGAGTGGACCCGCCCCCTTCTCCCTCCCCAGCAGGGTCTCCCAGTTCTCTGCAGCCTGGTGGTCCTGGCGCCCGGGACCCCCGAGATCTAATCCCAGTCGCCCTCTGCACCCCAGCACGGCGCAGTCCCCGTCCCCCGCAGCACCCCGTGGGTACGCGGGACTGACCATCAGGAAAATCCCAGCGCGGGCCAGAAGTAACGGGACAGCCCAGGACAGCCCGGAGCTGGGGGTGGGGGGGGGCGCCCGGGGGACCCCGCCCTAACCCCCCGCCCACCCTTCCCGCCCCGCGCCGGGTCCCCATTGGCTGGCGCACTCCGGAGCTGGGATGGCTGTGGGAGGGGACCCTCTGGTCGGACGGGCTTATAAAAACTGCGCCCGCGGCGAAGTCCCGTCCTCTGCGCTCCCTCGCTCCGGGTCCCCACGCCCGATTCGCAGCCGCCGCTCCCAGCCACCGCGCCCCGCAGCCATGTCCACCAGGTCCGTGTCCTCGTCGTCCTACCGCAGGATGTTCGGCGGCCCGGGCAGCTCGAGCAGCCGGCCGAGCGCCAGCCGTAGCTACGTGACCACGTCCACCCGCACCTATAGCTTGGGCAGCTCGCTGCGCCCCAGCACCAGCCGCAGCCTGTACGGCGCGTCCCCCGGCGGCGCGTACGCCACCCGCTCGTCCGCCGTGCGCCTGCGGAGCGCCGGGCCCGGGCTGCGGATGCTGCACGACTCGGTGGACTTCTCGCTGGCCGATGCCATCAACACCGAGTTCAAGAACACGCGCACCAACGAGAAGGTGGAGCTGCAGGAGCTCAACGACCGCTTCGCCAACTACATCGACAAGGTGCGCTTCCTGGAGCAGCAGAACAAGATCCTGCTGGCCGAGCTCGAGCAGCTCAAGGGCCAGGGCAAGTCGCGCCTGGGGGACCTGTACGAGGAGGAGATGCGGGAGCTGCGCCGGCAGGTGGACCAGCTCACCAACGACAAGGCCCGCGTGGAGGTGGAGCGCGACAACCTGAGCGAGGACATCATGCGGCTCCGGGAGAAGTAAGCCCGGGACGCGGCGCGCCTCCCCGCCCCCCACCCCGTGCCACGCCCTTCGGGATGTGGCTCGGGGCGGTGGCTGCGGGGGTGGGGTGCTGGGCGCGGGGGGGGGGGGGAAGGGGACGGGGGGTGCAGGGCTGTGGCTGCAGGGCTGTGGCTGCGAGGCACAGCAGTCCCGCCCGAGCCCAGAGCTTGCATATCCGTTCCCCCCACCTCACTCCCACTCATTGCCCCAGTTAACTGGGGCCTGGAAAGGACCGCTCGGTGCAGCTGTGCGCGCTTGGAGAAGACTTGCGCAGTTTCCCTAAAACTTTTACAAAGTTTCCAGTTTCCCCCACCACACACCTCTCCCTCTCTCTCCCTGTGTCCCTCCCTTCCTCTCTGTCTTTCTGTCTCTGTCTCTGTCTCTGTCTCTGTCTCTGTCTCTGTCTCTCTCTCTCTCTCTCTCTCTCTCTCTCTCTCTCCCTCTCTCCCTCTCCCCCCGCCCCTCTCCGGCTTCCACTATTCTGGCGGGCTGCCAGCGCATGGTGGGAGGAGGGAGGAGAGGATGGCCCGGGAGGACGGGAGACAAAGGGAAGCGGGGAGGCGCCCCCGGGATGCGAGGTGCAAGGGGTGCAAGCGGTGGCTCTGATGGCCTTTCCCTCCCCCACTGCGGCCGATGTCCCGCTAAACATCCCCGAGCGCTAAACATCCCCGAGCGAGTGGCCAGCTGTCAGGGGAGGTGGCACCGCCTCTAGGAGGTTGGGTGTGGCTGCCCTGGCGGTCGGGCGCGGCTTCCCAGTTCCCCTTTGGTTCATGTGCAAACTCTTTCAGGTTGCAGGAGGAGATGATGCAGAGAGAGGAAGCCGAGAGCAACCTGCAGTCCTTCAGACAGGTTTGTTGCAGCCCTCGCGCCACGCCCTACCCCACCACCCCACCCACCAATCTTCTCCACACACTTTAGCTCCAAACTTAAGGGCTGTGCAAAAAGCCCCTTAGGGGCTCCAGATTGGAGCCTGGGAATGAAAAACAACCACCACACAACCCGCAATTGTAGCTGTTCCCCGGGACAGAAAGAAACTTTTGAATTTTCTACTTTTGTTTCCGTTCTTTTTTTTTTCTCCCAAAGAAATATCCACCCCACCAACCTACTCCCACTTTTCGTTTTAGCAACACACTGACATTCCGGTTTGTAACAGTTCCAGTTCACTTCAGATTGTAGTCTGGTAACCTCAATTTGACTTTTACGAGGCCGCTGGGGATTAAAAAGAAAAAAGCTTGATGCTGCCCTGTAGTTTAAAATGTAAAGCGCGTTGGAGAGTGAGACGCGGAGTTTCCCTGAAATGAAGCCAACAAAGTTGTTTTCTTTTTGCTCTGCAAGTTCTATTGTGCCCTTCAAGTTTGATGGAAGTAGTGCTGTGCACAAGTATTTTGTGATTTAATAAGGGTGAAAAGCAGCCATCTGTCCCCTGGGCTGAAAGGTATTAATGGTTTCCATGGGCCCCACTACGGAATGTAGATACAGACATTCTGGCAAGGGTGCTAGCTCGGGACTGAAATAATAGCAGCCTTTGTGTGCCCAGAGAAGCTTTGCAACAGGCTACATTCTTATTGAATATGTAATGATGTCAGCGCAGTTCTAATTGGACACAAGTATTTGCTAACATCCGTTATCTAATATCTGGCCCAGGCTTGTGGAGGATGCTGGATTCTTAGAGCGGTAGACAAACCTCACATTTTGCAGGCCCCCTTACATGGGGTTTTTATGCTTTAGGATAGTCTTCTTGGGTGAAGAAGAAAGCTACAGCATTGTCATGAAAGGGCTTTTCTTGTTGCCCTTGCTCTCCAAATTAGATAGACTTAACTTAGCTTAAAATTGAAATCCTAAAGGCTAAACGGGTGCATTGCTGAGTCTCCAGAACATGCCCTGAGAGGTAGATAAGAAAGAGGCTCCAAGAGCAATAGTAAAGTAACATTTTGAGGCAGGAAAACACTTGCTAAATTAATTTAAATATACAACCCGTATAATTCAGCTGGGCTTAGGCTGTTAGTATTTATGATCCTGTCCTTTGTAATGTTTTCTGCAGAGTAGTAAATGAATAGAAAGTTTTAGCATAAAACATGCCCTGTTTAGGAATGAAAGTCCATGCCTCAGATTTTCTTACTTGAAGTAGACTGTCCCATCAAATTCTCTTAGAGGTTGGTAAATTATCTTTCCTATATTTGTTTTGGCAGGGGTGGTAGGGATTTCCCTCAGACAAAATTCAGTTTCCCCTAAGCCTGATATTCTTTTCTGAGTCTAAAAACATTTTTCCAAAAGTTGATAGAAACATCTCAGTACTTAAGTCTGTAAAGGCTATCAAGTGTGTGTTCGATACATAGAGAAAAGGTCCCCAAAAATCCAACTGACATTTCTTTGGTGGGTGGGGTTTGGGTGGGATCTAAAAGTCTTAGTTGCAGAATTCCACATTCTGATTTGGAACACAGCAGATGACAAATGTGGATACACAGAAATGAGGGAGGGGTGTGGGGCGGGAGGTGGGGGGTGTGGGGAGAGCATGTCTGGCTCCATTGTCTGTCAGCCCTTTGATCAGTCATTCTGAAAGAAGCCAGCAGCCTCAGAGCCAAGTGTTGGTGGGGCAGAGTCAGGAGAAATCCGCCCTGAAAGCAAAGCAAATCAGCCGAGAGTGACATTTCTCTTACCACCGGCCTGGCCTATAACTGAGTATCAGAGGACCTGGAAGCCAGAATGTCCAGCAACTAGATAATGGTTTGGGATCCTTAGGAAGAGTTTCAGATTCGAATAGAGAAAATAAGAGTGTAAGTACACTGTAACCTGTGAAGCACATACTTTGATACCATTAATGACATCTGGTCGACCTCCTATTACTGCACAGATCCATGAAGTAATCAGAAAATCTTGACCATCTGTAGCATTGCTTTTCTATATAAAAAAAATAGAAAATTTTACTAGCATAAAGTGGAATCACTAATTGGGTATGCTGACCATATTGGTCATTAAACAAGTGCCCTTGTTTAATCTTGTCTCCTTGACAACCATAGAGTACCCCATCATATACAGAGAAACCCATCATATATTCTAGCGATAGGTGAGTTATCAACTTCCACCAAGATCATAAAAGGAGTTGAGGAATCAACACCGTTTCCGCAGCGTCCTTGAGCGTGACCTAGGGGTTTTAGTCATAGTCCTTCATGTTCTCACTCTCCCAAACAGGACGTGGACAATGCTTCTCTGGCACGTCTGGACCTTGAACGCAAAGTGGAATCATTGCAGGAAGAAATCGCCTTCTTGAAGAAACTGCATGATGAAGTAAGGCTGGGAGGAAGGTGCCTCTTAGGGAACGCATGTGTCTCGGGGGTTCCGTCTCGTCCATGGTACAGCTGACCCTCTGCCTGTCTGTCCATTCTGCAGGAGATCCAGGAACTGCAGGCGCAGATTCAGGACCAGCATGTGCAGATCGACATGGATGTGTCCAAGCCTGACCTCACGGCAGCCCTGCGTGACGTGCGTCAGCAGTACGAGAGCGTGGCCGCCAAGAACCTGCAGGAGGCTGAGGAGTGGTACAAGTCCAAGGTAGGCAGAGCTGAGGGGAAGTGTCTGACTCAGCCAAGACCCTGTGCCTGCCTGTTGTTCCTACCCACCTCTCAGCTCTCGCTGGAAAATGGGCTGGAATGCCTATTCACGTTTTTGTCTGTTGTTTGAGTCTCCCCACCTTTCTCACACCTCCTGTTCAGACTGGCAGACACTCCTCTCTTTTCCCTCTGATTAAAGTCCAGCCTCCAGCCTACCCTTACCACCGCTTAACCCTATCAGCTTTCCGCTGCTCTTCCTTGGCAACTTAGGCATTTTCTGGAATGCTGAGATGAGAGCATTAGTGACCCGAACTTGCCTATCTTCGTGCTCTCTTTCTGTTGTCATTAGCCATCACTATGCTTTCTCCTTTGCTCAGGAAGGGAGGGTCTGAGGGGACAGCTCTCTGAGGCAGAATCCACATGTCCCGTTTCTTCCTGACAGTTTGCTGACCTCTCTGAGGCTGCCAACCGCAACAACGATGCCCTGCGCCAGGCAAAGCAGGAGTCCAATGAGTACAGGAGACAAGTGCAGTCCCTCACCTGCGAAGTGGATGCTCTGAAAGGAACTGTGAGTAGCATCTCCTCCAGCACAGTAGAAAATGAGTGACCATGAAGGGCCATTTCGTAGAACAAACCAGTGAGATCTCAGCAGAATGGGATAAGGAACAGTACATACACAGACACATACACACACACACACACACACACACACACACATGCACACACACATACAGTTCTACCTATTTATTTTTGGGCCACACCCAGCAGTGCTCAGGAATTGCTCCTGGCAGTGCTCAGGGGACCAGGTGCAGTGTCTGGGATCAAACCCAGGTTTTCCGCCTGCAAGGGATGCATTCACTGAAGCTACCTTGCTGGGTCCCCCACAAATGCATATCTTAATACAAAGAAAATGGCTTGTCAGGATAGGCTCAGAAGCCATTTGACAGGTGAAAGCTTTTAGCTCTGATACATTATTGCTTCTAAAAGAACAGATGAGTGCCTTGCAGTCTCCACTTAAGCTTGGCCTGTTCATGGTTTGCTTCCCTGGAGAAAGGTTGCCAGTTGTCTGCAAATGGTTCTAGCAATAGCTGTCATAGTCCGTCCCCTCCCCCCCCCCCCCAGGGAAATAAATGTCTGGGTCTTTATTTTCTCCTGCAGAATGAGAGTCTGGAACGTCAGATGCGGGAAATGGAAGAGAACTTTGCTATGGAAGCTGCCAACTACCAAGACACTATTGGCCGTCTGCAGGACGAGATTCAGAACATGAAGGAGGAGATGGCTAGACACCTCCGTGAATACCAGGACCTGCTGAATGTTAAGATGGCTCTTGACATTGAGATTGCCACCTACCGGAAGCTGCTGGAAGGCGAGGAGAGCAGGTAAGACCCAGCAAGGAAGAGGATGTGGGAGTTAGACACCACTGCCTGTTCAGGAGATGCCACTGGCTTGAACACATGCCACCTCATTGGCTACTTAGAGAAAGTTTTTAAGGTGGCACTTATCCCTCTACAGATCTCTATAGTTCTATGGACTAACTCAGCTTAGTCAGTTCATCAATAGTAAAGTTGGGATGTGAATCATAAATGGGTAAAGTCCAGTACTGCCCTCCAGCTCAGTGTCCTGCACAGAATATTCTAGAAGTAAATGGCTTAAATGCACTAAGACCCCTGAGTGGGCAAATGCTTCTGAAAGTAAATCCCTCACTTAGGAAGTCTTGTGAGTGGTGTCTTTTTTGACGAAATCAAGACGTCTGTGATTTTGTTCCTTGACTCAATGCAGTTTCTGATTTTATTCTTTTTTTATTTTTTTTACAGGATTGCTTTGCCTCTTCCCAGCTTTGCTTCCCTGAACCTGAGAGGTAAGCATTTAGTTGCCTTTTATGAAACATTTCAGTGCTGGTCACTCTTGCATTTTTGATAAAGCATTCATGTTTAATGATATCTGCACAGTGCCATATGAGAGAAAATTTTGGAACAGTAGCTATAGGATCAAAGTCAAGTAATGCTCTACAGTCTGTAAATTCTAAATTAGAATTTCTAATTTTAAAAATTTAGAATTTAAATTCTTAAATTTAAATTTTAAAAAAGCTAATTTTTAAGTTTCAGCTCCATTTCACTACTTCTCAAGGGAGTGTGTGTGTGTGTGTGTGTGTGTGTGTGTGTGTGTGTGTGTGTATGGGCTTTTAGAATAGGGAATAATTTTAGTATAACTTCAAAAACAATTTAAAAAATTGTAATTCTTTTCAGAAAATAGTTACGTGAGTTTGCTTTTTTTTATGTCATGTCTGCTCATGTTCATTCTTTATTTCTTTATTTAGAAACCAATCTGGAGTCCCTCCCTCTGGTGGACACACACTCCAAGAGAACACTTCTGATTAAGACCGTTGAGACCCGAGATGGACAGGTTGGTGTCTCTCCATGGAAGTCAAGTCATCTCTGTCTCTGATACCCTATAAATTACATATATGTAGATTCTACAACAACTAGTGAGTTTGGATAGTCCTATTCCATTCATGTCTACCAAAAAGATGCTGTGTCTCTTCTTGTAGCCAGATGCTTAGCCAGTTCCTACTGAGCTCTTAGACGGGAAGGAGAGTGAGGGCCAGTCCCCATGCAGTTCAAAACTCCAATGCTCTTTTTAGGGTACTTGATTTTAAAAGATAGCAGAGCTTCCTTAGGTGACACAGTAGGAATTCAGTAGACTCTATCACCATCAGGAACACTTTGACTCAACCTAATAATATGGGATCCCACATGTCCTATCTCAAGCGATCCCTCCAACCATCATTGACTTAGTAATCCCTTCTCTATCCCAGCTGCCTTCTCCCCAGTTCATGAGACAGGCGTCCAACTATGGAGCAGTCTTCCTGGCCCTTGTCTCTATTGTCCTTTGGTATTAGTCTTATATTATGATATTTTATATTCCACAAATGAGTGCAATCATTCTATGTCTGTACCTCTTTCTGACTCATTTCACTTAGCATGATACTCTCCATGACCATTCACTTATAAGTAAATTTCATGACATGAAAGGTTACATGTATGTCCCTGCAAGCCATTAACCCATGTCCTGCACATGCAGCATCATTTTCCAACTTTGCCAATGGCCAATCTGGATATGGAGTAGGATCCTCCTTGATAATATTTGATAGGATCATTTAGTCTTTAGTATGTAATATTACACTTGATTGAAGTGTTATTTTTTTTGACAGGTTATCAACGAAACTTCCCAGCATCATGATGACCTGGAGTGAAAATCTCAGCCATCTGGTGCAGCAGTTTCTTACCAGCAGAATAAGAAAGATCCATATCATAAAGGAAACAGCTTTCCAAGTGCCTTTTCTGCAGTTTTTTAAGAGCGCAAGATAGATTTGGAATAGGAATAAGCTAGTACTTAAGAACCAACATTTGTAAAAGATGTAGACAAAAAGTTTACAACCTAATCTAGTTTATGAAGACAACTTGTGCTAGAATACTTTTCTTAAAAAGTATTTTTGAATACCATTAAAACTGCTTTTTTTCCGAACAACTCTGACCAACCTGTCTCTGAATAAATCTTTGGGAAACTCATTTGGTGTGATTTTTATTTGAAAACATTAAACAATTATCAATTTTTAGGAGAAGATATTTGTCAAAGGTATTTTGGCATCCTATTGGTAAATTACTACCAAAAATCTAGCATAAACTAATAAATGTCACTTAATGATTTGCACTTGATGTATCTTAAATTCATTTCAGTGAAGCTATTTTTAAGATTTGTGAATAGTTTTTTTAATATGAAAGAATGTAAAAAATGTAATAGGTCCTTTCATAAAAAGAGTTTAGCTGGACCCAGGTCTGTGTGACATTAATTCTAACACATAGGCCTCCTTAAATGAAAAACTTCGCCTAAAATGAAAATTTTAGGATACATGCAATAAATAAGTAACACAGATGCACTTAAGTTAACCAAAAGATGTGAGTAATTGATGTCCAGGAGACTAGCAGCATCTTCTACTGGCAAGACAAAGAGATGAGTTCATGAAGTCTCCGCATATGAATCTCTTGCCTTTGTGTGTGTGCAGGTGACTTGAACAGGAGCAGGCAGGGACTGCCACCTCCTCCCCATTTGAGACACCTAAGGATGTGGCCTTCAGTAGACAAGCAGATACCACATCTGTGGATTCAACCTAATGTGTCAGAGATCTGTTGAATCTGAAAGTGGGACTTGTGGGTAGAAAAATCCCCAATGAAAATACCTCTTTTGAAAAGATAGATTCTATCTACAGATTTTATTTTACTTGTTTATTTGGCTTTGGGGGGCACATTCAATGGTACTCGGGGCTTATTTCTAGCTCTGCACTCAGGAATCACTCCTAGTGGGCTCAGAGAACCATATGGGATGTCGGGGATTGAACCTGGGTCAGTTGCATGCAAGACGAACACCCTTCCCACTGTACTATCTCTCTAATTTCTAAAGATTTTTTTCTTCTTTTGAAAAAACAGCTTCTGTCTTTGGGTAAAAGATATTAAATAATAGCAAAATAAGATCCCTACATTTTCTTCTCGGGTGGGAAGAAATTATGAGGACTCCTTGGTTTAGATTGCTCGGGGTGATGTAAGATTTGATGCTCATAGCACTGTGAATGCAGAGATAGTCAGAGAGTACTTCAGTGAGCCCAAGGGAGATGCACTGAGTTAGCCAAACAATAGTGATTTCCTGGAGAAGAGTCACCATGATTGGGTAGCATGGGTGATGTGGAGGGAACCTCCCTGAAAAATGTCTAGTCCTTTGTAAGGCAGCCTTCTGGTGACTGTTACCCCTTTTCTAGGAATGAAAAGAGGCCTTTTCGGTGCACTGGCTTCTACCTCTCTCTGGGAGAATAATGGCAAGATAATTCCCCAAAGCCTATCTAAATGCCAGGCACTGTGTTCAGCCTCAGCAAATACATAACCTGAAGTTTTCATCATTTTTTTTGGTTAATGTCAGTATTAAATGAGCAAAGAAAGGGTTGGCCTTGGAAGTGACCCCCAGTTAGACTGTTGCTATATCCTCGTTACCTCTAATGGTCTGGGATTTTGCTTGTCTTCCTCCAAGGTATGAGTAAATGCCTTAGACAAAAGATTCTATGTGACCAGAATCAGACAGATAGTACAAAAGGCAGGGCACCTGCCTTGTCCACAGAAGACTCAGGTTCAATCCCCAGCACTACATACAGTCCCTCAAGTACCACCAGAAGTTATGCCTGAGCCATAGAGCCGGGATTAAGCCTCGAGCAATACTTGGTAGGGCCTAAAAACAATCTGATGGGTCATCCTTCCCCTAGCATGATCTCACAGGAAGTTGTACACATGGGGGAGGGGGGAAAGGATATCATACCTACCACTATTTGAACAGCTGTCAAGTTTTCTTTTAATTGAATCACCATGAGACAGTTACAAAGCTTTCATGTTTTAATTTCAGTCATACAATGATCGAACACCCATCCCTCCACCAGTACACATTTTCCACCACCAATGTCCCCAGTTTCTCCCCACCCCTTCCCAACCCTCCCCCTGCCTCTATGCACACAATTTCCCCCATATGCTCTCTCTAGTTTGGGACATTATGGTTTGCAATATAGATACTGAGAGACCATCACATTTGGTCCTTTATCTACTTTCAGCACATATCCCCTGAACGATCCCTCCAACCATCATCGGCTTAATGATCCTTTCTCAATTCCCAGCTGTCAAGTCTGATTGTTATTTTACTTTATATTTTGGGTCTGGGGCTACACACTGTGGTGCTCAGAGCTCACTCCTGGCTCAACATTTAGGAATCACTCCTGGCCGTGCCCAAGAATCGAACCAGAGTCAGCGGCTTGCAAGGCGAGTGCCTTAACCCCGGTACTATCTCTCCAGCTTAGTGTCAAGTTTAAAGGTGGAATCAGAGCGCGCAAAGCAGACATCCAGTGTAAAAACAAATCCCGCATGCTCAAGGAGCTGTGAAATTGCCCACACCGGGCTGTGTAAGCCCCTCATGTGTTTGCGGGCTCTATAGGCAGCTCTCTCTCGCCACCTGCGTTCGGTGCTCTTGAGCCACTTCTCCATCTGGGACGGCTATGGCCTTAGACGGATGAAGGAAGAATGAGGGCCAAGCTGGTTGCTGATTAGTTGCCTTTTATTCAATCTCTCATCTCTCCCAGATCTCTCCAACCCTCTTTCTCTGTGTGTGTGTTTATCTCTCTGCTGTCTCTTCTTCAATCCCCCTGCAGCAACCTTCAATCAATTTCTTCCACTATCCAACAACCAATTCATTTCTCCAATCATAAATCCCCTCCCCCTTTCTCCTCACAGCCGCTCTTTTTTATCCTCTCCCACGCCTCCCCAACCACGCCCAGGGGAAGGGTGATCAAAAATGTTTTTCCAGACTTCTCGACCACCTGCAGCCCACAAGGGCAAAACTACCCTTTAGGTGTGTTTCTCCTCTCCTTAGACCTGCAACTTAATTAGCATCTTTAATTCTCCTTCCTAATATTTACCATTCTGTATGGACACGGTATTAGACACCTTTAGGCTTGTAGGGCAACACTCCTGAAGACATCTTACCACTCAGACTCAGACTACAATGCTCATGCCGTATCAATCATTCCTAACCCCAGCAGGGTCCAAATCCAGTTATTATTTTTGGATCATGACAGAATTTGTCCATGACCAAGCTCTTAGCTTGTAAGTATTAAGTATTAGGGCACTTTGGCAAGGCCCATTTTGATGCCAGGGTAGCTCATAGATCACTGCTTTCCCTGGGTTCATTCAGTTCCTCATCGGAACTCTGCTTTTGGGGATCTAGGAAGTAAGGGCAACTGAGGCTTAAGTCGAGAGAGCATATGTCCAGGAGGTATATTATCTGGAGTCAATCAACTCCCAAGCCACAGGCTTGTCTTTTTAACTGTCTTCCTGTATCCATAGAAAAAGCAATTGCTCTGAAATAACTAACCATGCAAAGGACATTAAGGAGAAAGAAAAGACAATATGTACAAGTCAGAGTCTGATCAGGAGACAAAGATAATTGACAGGTTGTAGGGGGGGGGGAGGGATCAACAAACACAAGCTCCCAGCAGCCAGGGAGGAAGAGCAAACCAACTGTTATCCCACAATCCAGTGGGGTGGACCCTCAAGAAACACCTCATGCTTGAGCTCTGAGGACAGTCCCTTTAGCCTCCATTTCCAATCTCCCTTACTTCTCCAGACTCCCTAATGATGATCCTATTCAGGAGAGGCCAAGCCCATGCTGGTTTGCTTCAAACTTTTATTATAAAAAACAAAACAAAACAAAACAAACAGAAAAATAAAACACCACAAGATGTAGGTTCTTTCCCAGGGGAAGAAAGGAACCAGGACTAGAAGTTCTGACCACGTACCTCAAGAGAAGTGGATTTCCTCCTGTAGAAAATTCTTTACAGCATTTTCTAGGTCTTTTTTTTTGTTTTTTTGCTTTTTGGGACACACCCAAGTGGTGCTCAGGGGTTACTCCCAACTCTGCGCTCAGGAATTACTTCTGGCAGTGCTCAGGGGACCATATGGGATGCTGAGGATTGAACCCAGGTTGGTTATGTGCAAGGCAAATGTCCTCCCCACTGTACTATCGCTTTGGCCCCATCTAAATCACCCCTTAAAAGGGAAAAGAAGAGCCAGAAATGAGCACTGGTGCAACCTCGAGGGAATCAGCCTCGATTCAAATCTACTGGGTTTCCCACCCCCCTTCAATCTTTAATTATACTGTTAGTATTGTCCTTCTCTTCTTTTTGAAAATCCAATTAAAAAAGTACACTATGTTCTCCCCACCTATGGCAAAGACTTGGTTCTTTTATGTACAACATTAAACAAGAGTAAAGGAGACTGAGAAAATAGGGAATGATACTATTACAAAGAAGGAAATGATACTATTACAAAGAACAAGTCTGAAAGTGGGGAGAGAGAGAGAGAGAGAGAGAGAGAGAGAGAGAGAGAGAGAGAGAGTCCAGGGGCTACATCCAGGGGCTACAGCAGCAACCTTGGAAGAGGCCAAACCTGATACTCCCCCAAGCACCCCTCAGTGAGATCCCAACCCCCACCTCCACCCCCATCTCCACACAAAACTTTTACAAGCCTGAGAGAGATCATCAAGGAGAACAAATTCCATAAAAATCCATAGAAATAATAATTCAGGTCATCTCAGGTAGGAGGTGGGATTGAGGGATAAATCAGTCTTGCTTCAGCTGGTGTTAGGAATCAAATTTGCTTTGTTAGGCTCTAGGTCTCTGTTATAGTATTCTATAATACCACATAATTAACAACAGCAACATCCTCGTGGTTAAAGGTTTAGGAAAACGTTATCTGAAAAGGGTGTGCCCTGGCCCTGAGTGGATCAAGGACCATTTGCTCCGATGTGAACCGGACCTTGCTGTCCCTTTGGATATAGGACTGTAGTTTTGATACAAACATAAGTAAAACCTGTATTTAATCTTGCAAGATTTTAATTTACGCTCTGGAATGTGCTTTTGGGAATTTAACCGCATCTGTCGAATGGGTTAGAGTCCCACAACCCCAGGACTGTGGATCGTCAGAGT